ACAGCGCGCCTCCCATTTAGCCTACTCCCTCGATGATGTGATTGGTAAGGTAGTTTGTTTCAGAAACAAACCGCGTTTTTGAGACTGTCTTTGGTTCTCTGCAGTTATGAATTTGCACATGGTTTGGCTTAAAGTATATAAAAAAAGCACCACATAGACATATAAACAACATTAAAAGCTTAATTTTCACCACAGGGGGAATTTAAGTTAGACTACCTTAATTTTCAGCAATTAGCAGAGGCACAGAAAGAGACAAAAGCAAAGAAAAGAAAGTCTCCAGTTTTGAGACCATTTAAAGCAACAGTCTAGCCCACGGTTTCTCAACCTGGAGGTTTCCCTTTCTCATAGCAGTAATTAAATTTTTCAAGCTAAAAACACAGTGATGTCTTTCCTGTCTGTGAAAGTTAAAAAAAGGCTCCCAGTAAATATGAAATCACAGGTAATTTGATGTTTAACAAACAATGTTAAAACGCAAGGTAATTGTGTAATTCAAATATATTTACTGCGGTTTCAAAAGCACGTCTTACTCATATCTACGCCATTGTGCTTCTATAAAAAAAAAATTGAAAAAAAGTGCAGTTTTTAATGTTGAGGCTGTTTATGAGGAAAAAGGTTAGGAGTGGCCTTCTCAGTCAGACGAGAGTGAAAGAGAGGCCGAAAGAGAGTGATGGGTTTCCCCCGAGAAAGCAATGATTTAGCAAATGCCTTCAATTGAAGCGAGGATTGAGCCAGGAAACACACACAAACGTTCACACATTGAGCGGGTTGCTCAAGCACATGACAGGTAAGGATACATCACATTGAATGTGAACTTATGTGGAGTCAAAATTTCTATCATTTCTGCTTCCCATCTCATTCCCTGTTTCCTCATCTCTTCTCTATCCTGCGGCTCAGTGGAGGGGGGACTGTGTAATATGCAGCATCACGTAGCAGCAGGCAAAAATCCTGCAGGATTCAATAACAAGAAGCTAATAAGATTAGCATGACGCTAATGCAGATGAGCCACTGGGGTGGAGAAGCCAGAGAAGATTTCCCCATCCCTGGAAGCCAATAGAGGATGCCAATTTACACAGATCTGGCACCAACCCTTTCCCTCACACACCAACAATGGGCCGCAATAGCAATGGTGTAGTACAACAAGGTGAAGACCCCACTACAGCAACACACTATGGGGAAGTGTGGGCATTTGGCTGGAGAGGCAAGGTTGAGGGGGGGCAATGTAAAATGGACGTTTATTTAAGAGAGAGATTGGCGCACAATGTGGTTGCCTACAAGCCTGACTGAGCTGCTCCTGAATTTGGAGGGGAAAATACCTGGCAACTAGTTCTGGCCAACCATCGACTATGGAGAGAAAGATGGAAGAGCTTAGCGTGGAATCCTGAGGGAACTGGGTGGAGCTCTGCCCGGTAACTCCCTCTCATTGGTCCCCAGACAGGTGTCTTAGCCAATGATTGAGCAGTCAATGGAAACCTTCCACCGGGACTGGCAGGGTTTCCAGTCTATCATGCTTGGCTCTTTTTCTTGCATAACAAACAAATGAACAAACAGCTAAACAAGCACAGTGACCCACTGCTCTCATTAACAAGGAATCTCAAAAGAGTTTTGCTTCGAATTGAACTGGTTAATTCTTCAAAGACTCAGTAAGAAGTCCAGGTAACAAATGTCCCGTCGAGCCTTAGAAGTCAGGGTCGAAGTAGAGAAAGGGGAAAGGAATTGGCTGCTAACACAATACCATCCAAGCCCAAATTTATCTTGGATAACCCAGCACACACACAAAGTCCCAAACAGTTTGTCTGAAAGCCCCTTATCTAGCTTAGCTGGCGAAAATTGAAAGTAGCATGTATCGGTTGTTCCCATCAGAGCCACACACAAATGCTCGAGTTTCCAAGCAGCCTCTTACTGTACGTAGCAACACACATTCAATAGCACCTCATTGCACAAGTGGGAACATGTTGCCAAGGCAATCTAGGGTGCTGACAAGTAGATTTGACAGGAGCACTGGTGTATGATAAGAGATGGAAATGATACACAGCGATGAGAAGACCTTCCAAAAGAGCTAATGGATAAAATCTCTAAGAGCCTCTGTCAGCAGGTCATCACAGTTGAGTGTACAACCCCAAATCTTTACCCAGCCGCTAACCTTTCTCGGTCCTATAAGATGCTCCCCTAGAGATAGTGGTTGCTGAAGCATGGGATAGCCATTACCAGTACCAGCTCGACTCGACTCGGCTCACTTTTCGCTCTGTTTTCCATTACAGTACTGCTACAAATAGTACCCGGTCTTCATAGCGACGCCTTTCGTTCTTAGTTGCCCTATCAAGCTCTCACTGGATCCTCTCTTCGGCAACCAAACAAAGGAAAGTCTGCACCCCCTTGCCATAAAAATAATAGCCAAACTATTTTAAAATGGCAGGGTTATTCTGGATACTCCATCTGACGAGTGCAATGATGACGCAGTGATGCCCAGCAAACAAATTTAGGTTCTGGGAACGTTGGTTTTTGGTTCCCAGAACGTTCCTAGAACTTTCCCTTGAGGTTAGGGGAACGTTCCTGGAACGTTCTCCTTATGTTATAAAAATGGAACCTAAAAATAACCTATATGGAACATTCCTATAACGTTCTTGTTTGGTTTCCCAAAAAAAATAACCTCATGGGACCATTCAGGAATGTTAGGGGAACGTTCTGTGTTCGCTGGGTGGTTACGATTCTCTTTGACCAATCAGCAGTCGGCATTGCTTTCACGTCACATTTTAGTACCGGCTCAGCTCGCCTTAGCCCACTCAGAACCTCGCCGGAGGTGATACTAAAAAAAGTACCCGAAAGCAGCAACTTTTACACAGTGGAAAACCAAACAAAGGCGAGCCGAGTCGAGCGCCATTAGTCTCAGCTGTAAGTGGGACACAGACAGACTATGCATACTACAGACAAAACTGGAATGAATTTCGCTCAATATGTCAAGATCTAATTTGATTCAATTTCTCAGACTTTATTGATTCAGTCCGGCTAACAAAGTCATGTTCACAAGGTACCGGGTTGATACAATTAGTCCTTCTCTGGAATAACTAATCATAGGATTTTGCCAAAGTTTACTGGCAAAAAAAATCAAATTGAGGATGGCCTCTTGCTGAGTTTCTTGGATAGAATACCCTGCAATGTGAACCGACAGGTAAAGACAATTCAGGCTGCGTGGAAGGGTATATCAACGATCTATCACCATTGTGTCTTCGGCACAATTTGGAGCAAGAAACAATGGCGATGAAAAGCGAAATGACCCTTGCAAAGACACAAACAACGAACAACCTTTCCGTTTTCTGCCCATTTGTTATTCTACTGTCCCAGTAGTAAGCGTGCCATAAGTCACTTTGAATCATAATAGTCTATAAATAGGATAAAAATCTGATCAGCATGCTTTTCTTTTCAGCAATTCTATCTTGGCCTTGGGGACTGAGTGAATGTATTTTCTGCATGTGCAAATGAAGTTATTGAATTTTGGACTGACTGATGGCTACCCTACAATGACTAGCCCTATGGTCCTAAACCCTCAGGATTAGCTACAAACAAAAGAAAACGCCTCGAAACAACTGGAGTAAAAGACAAGCAAATAAATCCTGCCTTCTGGAACCACTGTGAATCAAGAAAAATGTGGAAAAGCACTATAACACACAGCAGAAAATGAACTAATTTAGGGTTCTCACTCATGTGAAATGTTTACCTCCGCCTTACAAGCCATTACTGCCATCATGAGAGCATAAGTTAATCCTAGCATTACATACAATGCGGATATATGAGGTATATTAGGTTTTTTGCTCTTGGTTTAACTGAATTTTTTATTGCCATTCTGCAGGCTGTCATTGGAACAAGAAGCAGAACGGTTTTTATTGGACGTTATATTGCTGAAAAAATTGAACACATTTTTCTTTATTAAAGAAGAATGGGTTTATTGTAACACTACACGCCAAATTGTCCCAAACACACTTAACACCAACACGCATACACACTCTCAAGTTTAGAAACAGCCCCCCCATTGGCTGGCAGACTTTTTCGGTTTGGACCTCAGAGTCAGAATAGAAATCACGGTAGGAGAACAGCAGGGACTGTCTGGCGATTTCCGAGTAAGAGCGTCTGTTTGTTTTGAGCATCAGAGAAAATGCTATCACCTGACTGTCTGACAAATAGAAAGATAATGACAAAGAGAGAGAGATGAGGCAATACAACATACCCATAGCCAAGCAAATTGCACCTTTGGCAGGGACGATTACATCCTGGCTAAAAATATTTTATGCTGGCACAGCTGTGTGCATTCATCAGTAGGGCTTGGAATCAAGAACCAGTTGGGACTTCTGTAAAATTCTTTACTATATCAATTCCTACACTGTAAAAACAAATGTTTTTTTTTCTTTTGTCAAATCAACTTAAATAATGTATGTGTTTTTTGAGTTTCTGTTGAGTAAACCAATCTCCTTCATTGTTTGAACTCAAATTTTTTGAGTTCAATGAACTCAAAATTGTGCAGTCAGAGCTAGCACATATTATTTACCAAAATTCGACATGAAGACATTAAGAGAAGATGGAAAACTAGAATTAATCTGCTAAACTCCTTTTTTTTTTTCAAAGAAATGCTGGGTTGTTTTAACCCAATTTTGGGTCAAATATGGACAAACTCAAACATTGGGATTAAAATGTAATTTAAAAAAAAAAAAATGTAACCCATTGGCTAGGTTTGTCTATATTTGACTCAAAATTGTGTTAAAACAACCCAGTATTTTTTTAGAGTGTATACACAACCTGTTTATAATAGTTTCCAATAATTGCCACATCATTCAGATCCAACCCTCTTTGCAAAAGCTGATTAATAATCAGGGAATTTCTGTAACGGGTGCTACACACAGAAAAATGAAAAGCACAAGATCTAACACACGTTTGCACATATCATTAGTTCTGGTGTTTAGGCGCAATTCCATCTATTCACTTTAAAGTTTTAGTATTTAAAAAGTTCTTACCTTTTCACTCTTGTAAATCAGACTTCAAGGTGAAATTTGACCTCCCCTCTGTGTTTAGGATATGTTGGATGGATCCAAAAGCTTCTTTCTTCAGTGCGACCCTGCTGCCTCTTTCACATCCAAAGGTGAGTAATGCCACAGTAGCAGCTTTACCCACTTAGAACCTCACGACCAATCAGGGAAGACCCTGCGTTCAAAACACCCAAATCTTCTGTGAAAGTCCACTGGGGAAAAAAATGGAGGGAAAACACATCAAAAGAAAAATTTGATGACATTCAACAAACAAATTGCATGCAACATTCCAAGTGATCCCATTTTGTTATCGTGCACACACAGACACGCTTCATTCAATGGCCTAAAGTTTTGTCATTCTGCAGAATGCCGTCAAAACAGTTTCTTCGACATATAAGCCGTGATTTTTTTCCAGAGAACAAAAGCATATACAATCAATTCTGGCAGCAAACATGAAAAGATTTGAAATTTAGATGGCAGATGAGAATGAGAGATGCTTTGATCTAAATGAATACTTGATCAGTAGAAGTAAGATATACAGATGAAAAAAAAAGGAAAGAGCCTGATTTAATTCTCAGTGGTGAAACCAGACTATTCATACCAACAAATTGAAGTGCATTTACACGATGTACTATACTAGCAGAACATTCCCACTGAAAAAAATAGACTGGACCATTTTATTTTACATCTTTAATACCAACACACGCCAATACCAATAAACATGTCATTGAGGTGAGAGAATTTAAGTTAACAAAGTTTTCTAACTGGGTGTTTCTGCAACTACAGGAAATTTTATATATATGAATATATATGTGTTTATTTAAAAAACAGTCAAATAAACATTGCGAAAACATACATATAAATTTTTTTGAATATATATATATATATATATATATATATATATATATATATATGAAGACTTCAGATGCAAAAGCCTCTAAATGCCATTTGAAATGTTCTTCTTTAATGATGATTTTTATCAAAATTGTATATTTAAGTTCAGTAATTTCACTTAAATAACAATTAATAGGTAATTATCATTGCCATTTAAGTGAAATTACTGTACTTAAATATACAAGTTTGATAAAAATCATCATTAAAGAAGAAAATTTCAAATGGCATTTAGAGGCTTTTGCATCTGAACTCTTCATATATATATATATATAAAATTTAGGATATATACTTTTTTATAATTTACGATATAGACTTAGGTTTACCATTTTATTCCAAAAAATAAATAAATAAAATGAAATGCTATTTCCAGAGAACATTGGCAGGCAAAATTTGAGGTGTGCTAGAAACATACACTGTTAGATATGAACATGTTAGAATTCAAAAAACAAAATAGAGAGTGTAAATTGCTTTAATGATAATTAGTAATCAGTGCTAAAAGTGATCATACAGTAGTTAAAAAACCACTGAACCACATAAAAAACGACTTTACACACATGCGCTTCACAACACATCCTCTTTCATCGACCCATCCAGACTCTTTCTAAAGACAGAGAGAGAGAAAGAGATGAAGAGGAAACTATTATTAGATGAAAAGTGAGATAAAGACAGGAAACAGAAATTGGATATGACGTATGATGTCATTTGAATAAGGCAGACAGATATGAAAGGAATTCAGAAAGTCAGATAAGAGAGATCGAAAGATGTGAAATAAGAAGTACTGTATAAGTATCAAGGCGTGGACAAGCTGTGTCTGTTTTACTCTGCAAAAAAAAAAGTGTTATTTCGAATTGGCCACAAGTAATTTCCTCTTTGACATCTCAAATGGATTTATCAGATATTGATCTACATTTATTTCCATGATGGATAGACAGACAGACAGACAGAGAGGGTGTGTATGTTGGAGAACAGTGATATATGTCAGGGGTCAGTTGTGATTATTCAAAAGCAGATGAAAACAAGCAAGGCAGGACGGAAGTGGATGTGAGAGAGCTAGAGCAAAGATGAAAATGATGTTTCGATCCAGCATGGCTGGCAATCAATGCGAAGCAGAAAGCCGTGACCACATGGAGAGGGAGCGATGGATGGGATTTAGGAGGAAACATAAGTCTACGACAGACAGGAAGTGATTATCTGAAAAAAAAAGAAAGCACCGACAGTCGGAATGCATGAAACGATAACGTGTCGAAAAGAAGACCTAAGCAAGACTTACTACATGGATAAACATATCTAACTCAACACTATAGACATAGATAGCAAGCAAAAAATAGATCTCTTTGTAATATCTCAAGTCTCAACTGTTTCTCCAAGGCAACAATGAGATTGAGTCTAAGTGTTTCGCCTGAAAATAAGAACTCTGCAATCTCAAATATGTCTTCTGTACAGCTTCAGATGAGATCTCAAACTGTGCTCAGATTTGTGAGTGTGTTGACTAGCACACGGCTTCATATTTACCTCTCCGGTGCTGTCAGTGGCAATCAACCATACTTGTTATTTACCTTCTGTTATTTTGTCGACCTCTCTCACTCTCTTTCTGCACCCCCGCTTGTCGCACTTGGCGTCTCTTTATTCTTAATTTCCCAGTCCAGTTCCTCTGTCTATCTCAGAAACCCTCGAGAAAAGACCCAAACGTCAAGTTAAAATCTCACAGGACTAGCTCTTTCCTTTCGCTATGACTGTTTATGTCACAACAACCTCTCCATCTTTCTCTTTTCGCCTATGCAGTATCAGTCGTTTCCAGACAAACTGCTGTGCAGTTAAATACCTGTTTCAACAAGTCCAATTATTGTGCAAATACCTCGCAGCAATGTGATAAATTTCAATATTTCTATCTCACGAGGACAATTATCCCACTTAGTTTGATGAAAGGAAGATTATTAAGGTTTCAACAAGATAATTAGATGTATTTTTTCTCTCTCTCATGCGGACGCTATGAGCATCCAAGGCCACAGAGATCTTACGTAACTAATATTCATCATAAAAGCAGTGTGTTTGTATTATGTTTGTACTAGCATAACTTGTGGAATTTACATTTGATTAAACTATCCCTTTAAAGCTTTAATCCCCAATAAGAAGTCCAAGTAAGATCAGATGATATTTTCGTTAACTACAAAGTTTGACCATGTCAGAAATCACTAATAGATGGTCGCTAACAAAACTCACATTCACCTAATGAGTTGTTACCATAGACTGTATAAAACGATGGACGTTGAGTGCGTGATGTCACAGTTGTCATGACGGGCGAAGTTATCTATATAGACCAAAACCACTTTTTGTACCTGGCTGTAAACATGGGCATTTTGACATGGGATTATTGGGATTGACTCTCTTTTGGAGCCTGTTTTTAGCGTCAAGTCGATGAATTGCAGTTTTTTTGGAAATAGGCTCATTTTACCACTCCCCCAGAGTTAAACAGGTCGGTTTTACCGTTTTCAAATGCATTCAGTCGATTTTCTGATATTTAGAAGAATATCAGTAAGCAAACAGTTTCTGGTCTCATTGACTTCCATAGTAGGAAAAAAATATATATGGAAGTCAATGAGACCAGATACTGTCTGGTTACCGATATTCTTCTAAATATCAAGAAATCGGCTGAATACATTCGAAAACGGTAAAACCCATCTGTTTAACTCTGGGGGAGTGGTAAAATGAGCCTATTTCCAAAAAAAGAAGTATCCCTTTAAGGCCATGTGTCCACCAAAGCGTTTTTAGCCAGCTGAAAACACTAGGCGCTCTGCTAAAGACGCCGTGCTTTGGGCGCTTGAGAGCGTTTTTGGAAGCACAGCGTTTTTACGTTTCTATGATACAGAATATCCGTAACACAGTTTACTTGAAACTGATTTTGCAGATAATTTGTTTCATAATAAAACTGTATTTTTTATCCATTTTGGTTGGTTAGCTTTGCTGGTTAATGTTGTTGTACAGAGAGAATGTTGTGACAGTTGGTCAGTGTTGTTTAGTCCCACCCCTCCTCCACTGTGATTGGACGGCTGGGTAAAAAGTGACAGTGATGAGTGTTTTATACAAAGTTTAACATTTTTCAACTCCCGGAAACCAGTAAAAAATGCTGGGTGCTCAAAAAAAAAAAAACGCTCAGCGCCTCGTTACGCTTATGGCGTTTAAAAAACGTGGCGCTCCCTTTAAAAACAATTGAAAACATACACCAGGCGCGTGGAAAAACGCTTTGGTGGACACACGGCCTAAGTCTTGGAATTGCCACTTGGTTGTTACTCAATTAACGTCGGTGCAGCAAAGTATTGTCATTATTTATTACTTTCTAATAGATTTAAACATCCCAACCATCTTGAGCTGGTTAGCTAAAAACAAGAAAATACAAACTAGTTTGCGCAAGATTGCACCTCAAAAATTATTGACCGAAATTTCTTTAAAAGGTCAACAATACTGTAAGTCAAGATATTGCACACTTAGCCTGGTTAAAACCAGACCATTCTCAGTTGTAACTGAGTTATGGTCTGGCAAAGCGTCATAGACAAATCATTTCCAGAGGGGCGTCACCAACGGACATCGCGGGTAGACGGCCGTATGCAGAGCGGCGGCCGGCGGAGAAACATCACAGAGTGTTGTTCTTGCTCGTTTTTTAACAGAAAGGAAACGTTCAAATCGCTTAAAACAGACGCGATGGCTGATTCGAACTAGTGATGTCCACTGGCGGCGTCCATCTTTGTAATGTAGGCTACAAAATCTGCTTTAAAATCCCAGCGCTGTCGTCATCGTGTAAAGCCCGCCCAAACGTGTTTTTGACGGATTGGAAAGGGGCTTGAATGAGCTCGTCGCCAGAATAACTTTCAGAGCAAATCTAAATTTGCCGGAAGTTGTCTGGGTTTTCCCAGGCTATTGCACACTGCTTTAAAATCACGCAAAAGTAATCGAAAGCGGATTGAACGAATGCGGTAATCCTAGCTTCTACTTAGAATATACTTGTTCATAAAAGTTCATAACTGTTATATTTTCAGATTGTGTCTGCATTCATACTTTTCCACTTCTTTTATGTCTCCTACTCACCTGCCTCCACGTCTGACCCCTTTGCGCAAACTTTCAGAAGACCAAGCATTACTTTACCGACGGCTAGTGCATCAAAAACGCCCACTACCCATCAAATCTTGACATTAGCAAAGTAAGTGCATTTTCTCAATGCCAATGAGATTGTATATGTGCCTAATTACAGTATCGCAGTGATAAGAGCAGGCGGTGTAGCCGGTGATGACTCACAATGAGTTGTTCCCAACCGCCTGTAGCCACA